AAAAAAAAGAAGAAAAGAAAAAAACGAAGACATTGTCCAAAAGCTATTCAGACCACGAAAGAAAATAATAACAATACTAAAAAATCGATAAGATGAACAAACAGTTTTGTGAGAAACCTCGTTTTGTTTGCATGAGATTATTGTTTCGGATGGAGTGGCGAATGGAGGGTTRGAGATACCAAACGGAATTTGCTTATCTTATATTATATTGTATGGAATATAATATTTTTCAATCGACTTGTCAGACACCACGACAGGCTCCACCCTTTCAATATTTTAACACAAAATATACTTAAACATATAAATAGTCAATTAGCTATTTATATCATATTATATTATAATAACGCGATAAATCAGTAAGTTCAATTGTATAAAAACTATGTCAACTGTAAGCATTACAGACGTACGATGATTATTCAATWTTATGTTGTTCATAAAAAATTATTATTATAAAAAAAATAGTAAAACAAACAATAGGAATTATRATTAATTATATTTMATTAACAAACGGTAAATAATTAAAATGTTTGTTATGTTATCCCGTATAATAAACGGATAATCAAAAACATCGTCTTAAAATATGTAAACTTGAAAACTGAAAGTCATCATTATCGAGAGTTAGACTAAATAAACGGTATGATACTACCTACTATGCAAATTTAGGTTTACTATAAGATAGTTTTTTTTCACAGATCAGAATGAATCAATATCAACTACAATGGCCGTTTTTTATAAGAAAATATTATCTTATTATTGCCAACATAATATTATTACTTTATTAGGTAGATATTTTATTTTACTACAATAACACAATGTAACTATTATTATACCTAAAATCAATACTATTTATTATTGTTATTATTTTTATACAATTTCCGAGAACTGTAAGAAAAKTTGTTGATTACACCTTTTATGTTCACAATAATTCCGAAGTTTTATAATATGAAACAAGTTAAATTTGTATGACTTATATTAAAACCTAAATGAACATTTTTGATTCAATAACAATAATAGTCATATTCCGTATTGATTCATTTATTTTAGTTGTTATTTGTTTAATAATTAATTATTAAAAACTACGTAACCTTTCAATAAAACTTTAGCAATATTTTTCAGAAATCATATTATTTTGTCCATAATTAATGTARATTTAAAAATATTTTTAAGGTTATATAAATAATTCATTGTTTGTTTCCCAAAGTTATGGAGCGTTTGTATTATGATTACTTTTTTCTTTTTCTTTTTTTTTTTGTTGCGATAAAATATTTGYTTATCATCTAATTAAACGCTACCGAGAAAATAAACCGTTAATGACCGCAATAGTTCTATGATTTTTAATGATAAATTGGATTAGTAAATTGCAATTTTAAATATATTATTATATG